TAATAAGGAAAAGTAAAAAAGGAAATTAAACAAAAATTAAAAAAAAATATTTAAAGAAATAAAACAAGGAAAATAATTTTTTTTTTTTAAAAAGCAAAAAGAAAGTTAAACAAAATAAAAAAGTAAAAAGTAAAAAGTAAGAAGTAAAAACAAAATTAAAGAAATATAAAAATCAAAATAGAAATTAAGAGCCCATTTGAGCCCCCTTATTCGTGTAGAATGCATTTTGCAATAGTAGATTGAAGAAATTCTATTTCGTTTAAAGAATAAAAAGTTTTGGATTTGAAAAATGTATGATGAAAAAGAAGAGGGGGAAAATGTATTTTAAAAATAATGAGAATGGGCTTTAAAGAGAACGGAAAAAAAAAACGAAAAAAGAAAAAAGGTGAAATTAAAAAAAAAAAGAAAAAAAAAAGGCTCATATGGACATGTGTTATGACTTGTCGTCTGTTACGATTTGTTATGTGACAGATACGTTTGGGCCGTCTGTTATAGACGTAATAGACTGGGCTATTGTGTCTTACTTTTAACATTTTTAATTAGGAACATTTGTGGCATTTTATTTATTTATTTATTTTTTTAATAGGAAAATTTGGTCAAAAGCTGTTTCAGCAAATGATCGGGTGCCTGGACATTTTGTTGGATCTTTTGCATTATTAGGCTACTCGGGGTTGCTTTGGTTTGGGCCTTGGTTAAAATCGATGAGTGGATTTTGGTAGGTATATATGGGCTTGGGTATAGTTTGCTTTAGGTTTGCAGGTTTTGAGTTAGGTTTGATTTTGGTGCATGTTATGTATGGGCATGTGCGGTTGTCAATTGTTGGGCTGGGTTTGCGTAGCGTGGATTATATAGATGTTACTGGGCAACATTATGAGATTGAACTTGAAACATCAACGGAAAGTAGTAATTACCATAAGTCTCTCTCTCTCTCCCAGCCCTTTTTTTTAGACCTCTTCCTTTTTCTCAATCGACAATCTATTCTCAAGAAGTTGCAAAAAGGGCAATAGTGGATAATGGGTGATGAGACAACGGCCTATGTTGTGGAATGCGTTTGTGTGTGTGTGTGTGTGTGTGTGTATATATATATGTATGTATGTATATTTTCTTTCGGTGCTATTCTAAGATTTTTGTTTACAAAAGTAACTAGAGTTGGCAGGTCTAGGGAAGGTTGCGATATGTTTATGAATTATGGAAGCAATTGTTGTAATTTTTTTGGAGTTGAGACCGAAAGATTTGTGGAGATGATTAGTTCTGATACCAAAATGATGCAGGATACTAAAGAACAATTATAGGAGAAGGGAAAAGGGAAGAGAAAAAAAGATGATGAGGAAGAAAAGAGAGAAGAAGAATAAGGAGGATATAGGTTAACATTTTCCATCCCCGAGAATCCATCACACTACATATTGCTTCTTCTTTTTTTTTTTTTTTTTT